ATTATGCTAATGAGTTCCTGCTGGGTGTGGCCAACTCAGGAGCCAGCCGGAACTCCGTTCCTGTGCGTTCCTGCCCCAAAATAGCCCTGGTTATTATCACAGCCTCACAGTTGTAGGAAGAATGTGTGTCTTCTCCATAACCATCTTCCATTTCTTAGGAAGAGGAAAATCATACAAAGGTCTACCTCTCTGGATTGCATAGCTATAATTTTTTTTTTTTGCTTTCCCCCTGCAGGTTGTTCACAAGGCTGTGCTGGATGTTCATGAAGGAGGCACTGAGGCGGCAGCAGTCACTGTTGTAGAGATTGCACTAATGTCTGCTCGATTAGATCCTCCTCCCACCATCATATTCGAGAAACCATTCATAATGGTCATTGGTAGTAAGCGCTTACAGCACTTTATCTTCATAGCAAAAGTTATGAACCCAACAGCAAAATAAATATTCCCTGAAAAAACCAAAGCATGTAATTACTGCCTTTCTGGGTATCTTTTCCTCTGTGTAATGAACGAAACCCAATCCGGCATTTTCCTGAGCTTTCCCCTGTATTTTCTAGGCCGTTTTCTATTTTCCAAAGAGCAGTCATTTTTGATACTCTTTGTTTCCCTGTCTTTCTAACAAGCAAAGGCCTGACTATCACTCCCAGAAACAAGTACATCTTTCTTTCTGCCTTGGCTGAAGACTGCAGGGAGGACTGACTTACTGGCCCTGTAGGTTGTAGTGAGAAAATTTAGATTCATAGTTGGTCTGGGTTTAAAATGAAAACCATATCATTTATATATTTAATGTAGCTATCTGTGTCTGTATTAGCAAGCAGCTTGCACTTTTGTTAGCCACACTGAACCAAATATCCATGAGCCTTTGCTAAGCCTTTGTTTCAAACAGACGCACGTACGTAGGAAAAGGGCACACTTTCCATTCCCAGGACCAAAGCAATAACTTGCATTTGGCAGGAAAATATCTTTTTTGGACCAAGGGGCCATCAATTAGCAAAGCAATGACTTCCAGAGACACCAAGGTTCATACACCCACTGACACATCAGAGATAACACCAAGCTCTGTGATATCTCTCATGCAAAAGAACATCCGGACAAGAACAGAGAACGAGTTACCATTAAAAATGCAAATTGTTATCTAGCATGTTTCGTAAATTAAATGTTTCTCTCTGGAATAATTGGGCTATCAAAACCTCAACTAATGTCAAACTGATGTAATTAACAAGTGTAATGATCTTTGGGCAACTCTTTAATCGTTCCGTATAAATCTGTGGCTCTTGCTTCACTCGCTCAGGGAAATTTGAGGGAGATCTTTTTTTCTCTCTGGAGTTCTTTTAGTGGCCTGGAGGCCTTCCGTATTACATGCTTGTGTGTGTGTGTGGAAGGGGGCGGTGGAAGTTCTTTTAATGTCTTATCTTAGTAGCTTGCTTGCTTGTTGAAAGAAACAGTATTTATGTTGCTTTGCGCACTCGGCTACTGCGCCTAAGTTCTCCGCTCCCTAACCTTGATTAACCCTAAATAATAGTCATGCTGGCCACGTGACCACAGGAAAGCTCTGGACAGCGCTGGATCTTCGACTTGGAAATGGAGATGAGCACCGCCCCCTACAGTTGGATTCGACTGGCAAGGGAGGAAGGGAAACCTTAACCTTTACCTTATGAATCTGTAAACTCTGCAGTTCTTTTCAAGTGCTTTAACTTTCAATATGCCCTGTTTTATCCCTCCTCAATTTCGTTTCCCAAAAATATAATCTGGATGATTCTTTTATATTAGTTTGAAATCTGTTCTGTGCTTTCTTTACAAGTTACAATGTGTTAAAATTAGCCGAATGTCTTCTTGTTCTCTGTGGCAGTTTCTCAGTTGGCCCATATTAGGATCTATTGTCTTGATTTCCTTCTCTAGTGCAAACTAGACCTTCTCTTCCTGTTGTATGCTTTCTATCATCACTGTTCCACTTGCACTGCCAACAGAAATTATTTCTGCCATGAAAAATAAGCCTCCCCTTTCCAACCAGAATGTAGACCTCCATGTCATTCTGTCTTTCTTTGTCAGGGGAATAAACTTCCCCACGGAATTGCTATGGGTGGAGTTACTGGGCCCTAATGTTTATTTGGGGGGGGGGGGAACAGCCACAGTGTTTATTTAGTACTGTCTCCGAAAACACTTTATTTCATTTTCAATCCCTTCAACCATAGGTTAGTGGGATTATGGATAAAACGAAAACAGAGCAAATCAATAAAACAATAAATACTAAGATTATTTAATTATGCATGCAACAAATCAAGTAACAACTTCCAGCCAGCCTACATCAGTTGAAAACAACAGTTTCAGAATAATGTATTTACTAGAGCTGCGGTGGCTCAAGTGGTTAAGACGCTGTACTGCAGGCTGTGGAAGGTCAGTAGTTCAGCAGTTCAAGACCCGGGTGCCGCAAGATGGGGTGAGCTCCTGTCTCTAGTTCCAGCTTCTGCCAACCTAGTAGGTACCACTTCGGTGGGAAGGTAACAGCGTTCCGTGCGCCTTGGTGTTTAGTCATGACGGCCAGAAAATTCAAAATAATGTAATTACTAGAGCACTGAACGTCAGAGTTGAAAGAGATCCCAATCAATGTTCCCTCTAAGCTGTGGAGTCTTGTGAGCAAAAATTCTACTTTGTGAGCTACTGGCATTAAAGTTGTGAGTGAGCAATTTGGCTACTGCATCAATTAGTTCGCTCTGGAGCCATCCTCCCTGAGCTAAAGCAAAAATGTGTGAGCTGGAAGCAAAAAACCCTGTGACCTAGCTCACACTAACTCAGCTTAGAGGGAACAGTGATCCCAATATGTCACCCCTAGCTTCAATAAAGAAAGCACAGTGTAACAGCACATGTGAGATGGTCTTTATTTCTCCAGAAATACAAGAACAATTTATTTCTATCCAGGGCATACCTTTAACCCTTCCTGTGTATTCGGCTGTTGGGAGTGACACCTTGCCAAAAGAATTAAACGTCCATGTTTTGGATTTTTTAATAGTAATATGGTTATTTCAAGATGGGAGCACACTACCACCTACTTAATCAAACCATTGAGGTTGATTTTGAGAGGGAGAAAAAAATAATGGTGATGACTAAAGTAGAAAATGTTGCAACACTGGAAGACTTCAACAACCCTCACATTGAATGAACAAACATTTGCTCAAGTCATGCTGTGGAACTGAGGTTCCTAGACATCATAAATTATTGTGCACTGGAACATCTGGTCACATGGCTGATCAGGGTGGTGATATTGAACTTGGTTCTGAGGAGGGCTCAAGAACTCGTGTCAGTGTTATTGTAACAGTTGGGAATGGTGACCACAGAATTATTCAGTTCAGCATTAATGTCAATGAAAAGTTGCCCCCAAAGTAAAAAATGGTCACATTGTATTTCAAAAGAGGACATTTGACAAAAATGAGGGGACTAGTTAGAAAGAAGCTGAAAAGGACACTCAAGAGAGTCAAATGCTTAGAAGATGTTGGGAAGCTATTTACAACCATTCTAACTGAGGCCCAGGTAGAAAACATACCTCAAATCAGGGAAAATACCACCAAGTCTAAAAAGATGCATCCATGGTTAACAACACAAGTCAAGGAAGCTGAAAAGGGCTTCTATTTAAAACAGATTTACCCTCGCAAGGTGAACAAAAGGGAGCACAGGCCCTGACAAAAGATTAGAAAGTTACAATTAGGCAAGCAAAAAAAGAATTTGACATTTTTTTTGCTAAAAACATCAAGACAAGCAACAAATGTTGTTTTAAATATATCAGAAGCTGGAAACTGGCCAAGAAGGTAGTGGGCCCACCCTCTCCACCCCCAACAGTTGATAACACCTGCCCTTCCCCCTGCAGGTGACTTTCAAAATGCACATGCTATCTGGGGACCATTGACAAGAGGACCCAAGAAAGATTGTCAGGACAGCCAGTATGTCAGAAAGGATATATAGTCCAGTAAAACTGAGAATCTAAGAGAAATAGATTCGCTTACAGAAATGCTATGGGCGGAAATAGTGGGCCCAAATCAAGCTTAACTATGGGTGTTTGTTATCACCCACCAGATGAAGAGTTAGAGGTGTCTATAAAAAGAAACAAAAAATAATAATAAGGAAAGCAGCTAGATAAAATAAAACTACCCACACATTGATTGGGTCAATACGTGTTCAAGTCAGGAGAAAGAGATTCCGTTTCTATATACTCTCAATGACTATGCCATAGAGCCACTTGCTCGGCTTGCAAAAAGACCCTTTTAAAGGTCTTTTTGTGAGCTGAGTGTATGACCTGCAACTGCCCCCTTCCCTCCCCCCTGCTAGATTTAAAGGGCCCTCCAGCTGGTCAGCAGGCCACATGGTCCCTGCCAATCAGCTGAAGCCTTTTAAATCGGGCAGGAGGGGAGGGAGAGGGGTGGCCAGGCAGGTGGTCACTCTCGAGGGCAGGGCATGGGGCATTCCCACCCACCTCCAGAATGCCCCCCCCAATTCCCCCACCAGAGCGATGAGGGGACCTGGCAACCCTACTCTATGACTCTTGCTGTATGTCCAGAGGATGGGACAAACCCTCCAGGATCCCTGGCCAGGCTGGCCTAGGGAGAAATTCCTGCACAATGGCAACTGGCATTATTATCCTGGGCGTGTAAGAACTGGCCGCGAAAACCAAGCTGGGTAGAGACTCCAGTCTGGCCTTCAGGCCAACAGCTTCTTTCTGCCCTGAGTGAAAGAGAGCAGTCTTACAATGATAGCAAATGCATTATTTTTATTTTTATTTTATTTATTTTATTATTGGATTTATAACCTGCCCTCCCCGGAATGGGCTCAGGGTGGCTGACAAATGAGGCACATATGCCAAGACTAAAATAACTAAAAACAGAATAAAACAATCATTTATACAATAAAGTGCAGGTGCTCTAGTTGTCACAAAAGTCCTTAATTACAAGATGGGGTTCTAATAAAGATGGTCCCAGAACAACAAACTAAGTTCCAGGCAGCACTGCCATCCATTCTTCATCCCAGGGCCATCTCGCTCCCCGATGGTACCCTCTCCAATTGGTGGTGGTGGTGGTGGGATGATGGTACAGTGGTGGTGGCAGCGGCTCCTACTCAACAGCCTAGCGGAAGAGCTCCATCTTACAGGCCCTGCAGAACTGCGCAAGGTCCCGCAGAGCCAGGATCTCCTCCGGGAGCTCATTCCGCCAGGTAGGAGCCGCCACAAAAAAGGCCCTGGCCCTGGTTGCAGCAAGTTTGGTATCTTTGGGGCCTGGCGTTACCAGGAGATGTTGAGTCCCCAACCATAGTGCCCTTGGGGGAACATATGGGGAAAGGCAGTCCCTCAGGTATGCTAGACCCTGGCCATATAGGGCTTTAAAGGTAAGAACCAGCACTCTGAAGTGAACCCGGTACGCTATTGGCAGCCAGTGCAGTGCTTTCAGCACAGGCCTGATATG